CACGAGAAGCATAGGGGCCACGAGTCAATGCACGCCCTAATGCTTCTCATACTGATCGGTGCCATCGTATTGGCACAAATAGGTCTCATCTATTGGAGGAAAAGGAGTTTCAAGACATACCAAAACGTATCGATGATAGGCATGTGGTTCGTGCCCTTCGCGCTCTCCCTATACAACCATTGGTTCCGATTTGTGTCCATTTGGTTGGCCATCACTTTGGTGACGAGTGCGCTCATCAGTAAACCGCTCTTCAATAAGCAACTCACCGCCGGATCCATTCCGAGACTCATCTATAAGTGGTTTTATTTATTATATTCCTTGTCATCGATTGTCGCCGTTTCCGGTTATCTGCTAATAATGGCCACACTTCTGGGCATCAATTTGTTGTTAGGCGTCAAACCTAACGTTCCCCTCGACTTCGGCTTCTTGTTACTCTTCTACGGAATATATTACGGGGTTTTGACCCGAGATTTCACTGACTTTTTAGTGGACTTATTGGCGGCCAATATCGGCTATTATCAGCCCTCATCCTCTCTGCCATCAAAACAACTCAAATCCAGTGTTTGTGCCATTTGTGGCCGAACTCACAACGAGTCCACCGATGAGAAGACATATACTCTCACGTGTGGCCACACTTACCACGAGTTGACATAGATGCCGACCACAGACCACCCGTTCTTCGTCCAGACAGGGAAGACAGCTCTCTTTCAGCTAGAGTTGTTTGAGAAGCGTAGGGACGGGAAGGTTTTCGGAGTGATAGACATGCCTTTAGATCTCGACTTTATCCGCTATTTGATTGCGTGGCAACCGGTCATCATATTTGCCGTCCAGTGCTTTAATTATATGCTTGGATTAGAGTAACCATTTCAGTGATCATCTGATCCCATGATCACAAACTTTGGTCGTCCACAGCATCACTATTTATAGCAACACTTTCTACACCTCATTGGTCTCCAAAAGACTACAAAAGTTTTTATTATAACGTTATGAATGAATGACTAATCGATAAATGATTAATAATTTAAATTTAATTAATAAAACAACAAAAGTTACGAAATTTATTATAAATTATTGTTTTAAATGCTATTCACGAAGAGATTTGGTTTCATTTGTTTTGTTTTTATAGAATTTTATATTTTATTAAAACTTATTTCAAATTAATTGCATTTTGTTTTAATTTATTTATTAAGTTTGAAAATTTTTAATCACTCAACAAATTAGTTCAATAAACTTGTAATGAAGTTCGGCCTATGGTTGAGAAAGGGTATTAATTTTGGGGGCCGGGAGAGTCCAGTGCCACCCTATTTAGACCCCAATTATAGAGCAATTTACTTAACGTGAATTTCAATTTAATATGGTGTTAATGTTAGAACTAATTTAGTTTAGAGTTAGAGAAATAGTGATGTTTAATGCAGTCAAAACATGTAAAGTTACGGTAACATACTGCGGTTTGTAGTGTTTCACTGCACAACACCGTTGCATACAGTGTCGGGTCTATTATAAATACCGTGAAATGCTTTGCAAAGCTATTCAAAGGTGTATTGCAGTGAAGCACTCGTAGTGTTTGGGAATAACATGCGTTTGATTACCAAAAGTGTGGCAAACGTTGTGTTGAATTGATTGTAAAGATCAGTGAACTCGTGGTCACCACAAGACATACGATCGGTTGGATGCGATGGCCAATCGGACCATCAAAGACGCGAAGACAGTCCACGGAACTAATCCTCAGTATTTGGTGGAGAAGATCATCAGAACCCGAATCTATGAGAGCAGGTATTGGAAGGAAGACTGTTTTGCACTGACAGGTGAGCCACCGATGACCACAACTGACCACCAATTGATCCGTTGATTGCATTGACAGCTGAGCTAATTGTGGACAAAGGCATTGAACTGCGATATATCGGAGGAATATATAGCGGGAACATAAAGCCGACGCCATTCCTATGTCTTGTGCTGAAACTGCTTCAGATACAGCCCGACAAAGACATTGTCATTGAATTCATACGACAGGAGGACTTCAAATACATGCGAGCTTTGGGTGCGTTCTATCTTCGGCTGATCGGCTCGTCCTCCGATGTCTACAAGTATTTGGAACCGCTTTATAACGACTTCAGAAAACTGAGACGAATGTCCAAAATGGGCACTTTCGATGTCATACATATGGATGAGTTCATCGACATGTTGTTACGCGAAGACCGGGTCTTTGATGTCATTCTTCCGCGTATTCTTAAACGCAAAACACATGAAGACAACGCAGAGTTGGGTCCAAGAGTTAGTGTTCTCGACGACGACTTGGAGGCAGACATGGACTCCGATGAGGAGCAGTCCAATGACGTGAGTTTGGTATCCATTTGATACACATTTCTTACCAAATGATTCACTGAATCCATAGGAATCGCATGAAGTGTTGAGATCTGAACGCCGCCACAGAAGTAAAAGTAGATCTCCAGTGAGAAGACATCGAAGCCGTTCTCCCCACTCAAGATCCCGGCGCTCGAGATCTCGATCACGAGAGAGACGTTCCGATAGGGATAGGGATCGACGGGATAGGAAGCGCTCGAAATCACCGAAAAGAGAGAAAAGCAAACGCGAGAAGAAGGACAAGAAGTCGAAGAAGGAGTCAAAGGAACCGAAAGACCCAAAAGCGGACGAAATAGCGGAAGCGAACGCTTTGAGGGCTAAACTCGGACTCAAACCATTAAAACCATAACTACTTTTAATTGTTTAATTAACAAAAATCCGTTCATTTCTGACTGTTGTCATCGGTTTGTGTTTGATTTGGTGACGAGGACTCGGAGTTAGTGCCGACGGCCGGCACTTCCCCTCCGCTGTCCAACTGTTTGAGTAGTCGGAAAAGAGCGGCCGCTTCTCGTATCCGCGAGAACTCAATACAAAAGGCCTGCACTTCGATAAACACATCCTATGATTAAATGTAAATAAATTGTAAATAAACTTCAATACGAACTGAACATTGAAAATTAGTGAATCGTTAATCACCTGAACGTTAATTATTTTATTTCTGATGAGAGATTGAAGGAAAACACAGACCAGTCTCACGAGTCTGTTCTGCATATATCTGTCTTTTATGGTTTCACACGTTTGGATGCAATTAGAGATATATAAGTGCATGAACTCTGTGGGCAGGTCTACGGCGGTGGTCAACCGGTTCACCACTTCCATAGAGTGGACAGACATCTCCATATTTACTAAGACTGACAGATACTCTGATATCTGACTCGATTGCATCAAAATGAGAAGCACTTCGATAGCAATCAATGGGTTGTTTTCGACGAGCTCTGGAAGTTTGGCGGGCGTTAGGCCCAAGTGGTACGTCAGCTTCGGGTCGGCTTCCAATTCGGACAGTAGTTGTTGCTGTTGTGCTATAGTGAGCGACCCTTTGAACGCTTTGCTCATCAGACGCTTGGCCTCAACGCCCACTGTATTGCTTATACACATGGATGAGTCCCAACACAACTTCAGGTCATTAATCTCCGACGGGAAGATCCATACCAACTGTCCATACGTTCAAAACATGCGGTCATTACACAGCAAATACAATAGAGTTATATGAATGACATACTTCATCCTGACTGGTGTGGAGTGGGGGTGGGATTCGGACCATATCTGGTTTGAACACCTGTTCACACTTGGGATTAGGTGCACAAAAAAGACTCTCTAAGAGGCCATTCTTTGACTCGCTTTCATTCTCGATGACGAGTCCACTGAACATATATTCAAAAGTTTAGTGTTAAGACAGTCGTCAAACAGTATTTCTATGAAATATTTACGGTCTGTTGTCGGGATCAGCTATAATGGTTGGAACGCCTGCTCTGGTGGTAAAGGGAAGCTCTGATTGACGTTCATTGACAGACATATAGAGCGCCGATATGTCATAATTCTGACGATATATATGAAGACAATTATAACAAAAAATACATCACTTGAATAAATCAATGATTGAATACCTTATCGCTGGGAATCTCTGTATTTAACACTTGTTTCGGAGTCTGTTTGATGAGCTGATTGTTAGGTTTGGATGAATCAACAAAGCTATCAATTAATGGATTCAATGGTATATTTCAGGAATAACTCACTTCTGGCCGAAGTGTTGGGTTTGTAATGAGTTGTGAAATGAAATACTTCTCTCTGAACGACAGTTTAGGCCAACAAACAGACGAAGAGTTGGTGTCGTTCTTGGATTTGGCGCTCATTTTCGGCACATCTTTCGTCGGATTCTTAAGTCATTCAAAGAGTCAATCGATTAATTGATTGCAATTTATGTGATAATAAATGCCTTATAGTATAAGACTCACTAATATCTTGAGGAATATGGGAACAAATGGGTTGTGGACAAACACAAGTAGGGATATCTCAAGCATATTATCCTTGTTTCGCGAGTTGAAGACTCACAGAAGCCCCTAGTCCAGCACCACAACCTCATTACAACACTAGCTGTCTGGTTACGACTTCTGTAGTGTAAACGATAACAAAGACTGAAATGTCTGTCCGATTGTCTCGAAAGTCGAGTGATTTGTCACGTCTTCACTCAACACACTGGAAGACAATCCATTAATATATGACTTTTAATGACAATAACGTGTATATCGTGGCAAAACATACCTCAACAGTGATGTCAGATCTTTAGGCGTCAAAGACATGTTCAGAGATTATATTAAATTATATTAAAAATTAATTCATAAATCAAATGCTTTTCAATTGTTTTGAAGTTTCATTGAAAAGTCATTTAATGGAAATAAATAACGTTTTGTTGAATGCATTCATTTATACCTTTACTCGCGATTAAAACTTTGAGTAAAAGTAAATTTACAGTTAATTTAAGTTATAAAATGTGTTTTAATACTGTTTTTTATAATTTTACAGAAAATAAAATTATTAATTTATTTACCTAATATGAATACAAAGTCAGTAGACATCAAATTTTTCGATACAAAAAGCGAGTCCTTGTTCTTCGTACTCCTTCTTAGTTACGCTGAGTTTACTCAAGAGATCAGTGTTTTGTGCCACATATTTACCCGATTGCCACACATATGTCAATGGATTCGGTGGTACGGATACGTTCACGTCATACAAATGCGAGGCCATTGAGCGCACATCCGTTTGAACCCTGTCTTGAAACCCACTGAACCCACAGTTCCCACCTTTCATACAATCAAACAAATCATTAGAAATACATTTTGAGAACTAATTGTTGAGACGAACCGATGAGAAGAATGTTTTCGTAGAGGTGTGGCCGCACCTCCTCCTGAATGGTTTGGATGGAGTGCGCGACTGTATGCGAAACCCCCAACTGATCGATGCCCACATCGCTCGGATGGAACAGCAGTTCCGGCACTTGGAATCTCTCGTTATTCATACGAATCACCTGATGGTCAGTGATGGGTGTCGTGTCTTTGGGGTCGCGCACGTACCCCCTCTTAAGAACCGTATAGTCGGGCAAAACGTAATCCCGAAGAATGGCATTTCTCCTATCCTTACAGATCTCCATATCTTTCCAGAATTGGTTCGACACATAACAACAGTCCTCTTTGGCCTGATTCACGACATAAGTCTCATCCAAAACATTCAATTGTCTGTAAGATATGATGTCTTTCAAGTGATTCGTCAGCGCTTTTCCGCCGCAATCTATTCTTCTAATCGATTCCTTAACTCTTTTATCTTTAATGAATGGCACGATATGTGTGAATGAAAAACCAGAGTCCACCACAAGACAGGCCAGGGATGACTTGTTATCGCTATAGTACTTATGAGCCGCTAATTGAGGACCAGTTGCCCGCAGAAGACTAGCGAATCCGTACTCTTCGTACAGAATTTCAGTCATATTCTCCTGAATTGGTTTGAAATTAAGTGTCGGTTCTGTGATGATAAGAGTGGTGTCAGAGAAGTCCACTTTGAGTTTGGTTTTGAAGACATAGTCCCATATCTGTCGCTCTAAATCCCAATTAACGAGATATCCCTTCGAGAATGGGATCAAATAAAACATCTGCGAGTAGTCTTTGCAGTCCTCCATCTGGTCGCCAATGAATGGACGCCTTCTCTCGCTCTTCACTTTGGTTATGCAGTTGGGGATCAGTCTTAAGGAGATAATTGTCTTTATATTAGTCATTCATCACAATTCATAGCAATTGATGGCATACTTGGGCTCGCTCAGCCACCGGTTTGGATAAAACTACCATACCCGCGGCAACAGGCGATAGTTGTGCAAACTGTAGAAGCGGCTAGTGAACAGAAGTGAGCGTTAGTTATAGATTACGAATATAGTTAGTGGCCTACACTGTATGTCTTAAACTGATTGTAAATGAGTAACAAATTAATTCATTTATCAATCAATCATTTAAATGCCAATAGTTTTGGCGGAATATCAAGTGTTACTCTCGGGGGGCAGAGCCTGTGGTCAGGGGTTGTGTGTTGTCTGTTGCCATCAAACGTAAACCCCTTCACAATACAAATATTTATGTTCACCTCAACGCACACATTATGTCACTGTATGTAAGTATAGCCCCAATGCGTGTACTTTTGTTTGTCAATAAATTGCAGTCAAATCTCGTTATAATTTAAATCACTTTTATGTCATAATTTAATTATAATAATCACTATATGTTTTGCTCATAAATTGGATTAATTATCAAATAATATATTTCACTAAAATTGAGTGTATTTCTCACGAAATAATGCAAATAAAATCAAAGTCAATGAAAGTAATGTTGAGTGAAATGACGCAAACATTTGTATTGAAAATGCGGTGAAATTGAGTGCAAAACTACACACTTTTGCGATACGATTGCGTCACTCGTGTGTGACAACTGAAGCCATGGATCAAATGGATAGCATATTCTCGCGAAGACTTTTGTCATCGTATAATATAAACGATGAATTGCTGTATAAACTGGTGGCAAAGGGATTGACACACAAGTGTCAGATCCTAGCCATGAGTGACAGTGAACTGCGAGAGATGTGTGACTTGAATGACCACCAAATGGATGTCATCGATAAAGTGATCAGACATTCACACCAAACACCCATTCCCTCGATGACTGTCTCGCAGATACTTCACACAAGAAGTACTCGCATTCGGTGTCCTTCGGTGTCACTGAACCGAGCGCTGGGCGGAGGTCTGGAAGTGTCGAAAATGACTCAATTCTGTGGCGATGGCGGTGTCGGCAAGACTCAGCTCTGGTATGTCATGTGATTTGAATGGTCTGATGGTCTGATCTAATGGTCTGATCTAATGTGGGCGGAGGTCTGGAAGTGTCGAAAATGACTCAATTCTGTGGCGATGGCGGTGTCGGCAAGACTCAGCTCTGGTATGTCATGTGATTTGAATGGTCTGATGGTCTGATCTAATGGTCTGATCTAATGTGCAAATAGTATGCAGTACTGCGTTCACGTGCAAAGACCGCCACCGCATGGTCTGTCCGGTCGGGCCCTCTATATCGACACCGAAAAGAACTTCAGACCCGAGAGATTGCATGCGATGGCCGAGTCCTGTCTTAGACTACACCCAGAATTACAGCAAACCCTTACCGTTGAGGACATGAAATCAAGAGTTCATATCTTTCACTGCAATACAAACGCCAATGATTTGGTTGAATTGATAGTCTCTCGAGTGGAGCCATTCATTGATCAAAATCCAGAAATAAAACTCATTGTCGTCGACAGTATCGCTCAACTCTTCCGATATGACTATAAGGGAAAGGCTATTGAAAGGGATTACCAATTGTGTGAAATCGGACAAAAACTCAGACAAATAGCATCTCTTAAGAAAGTTGCCGTAAGTTGTGATCATTGCCTTTAAATTGACTTCAAATAGTAATCGCTTGATTTGGGCCACAGATTGTGATCACAAATCAGATTTCTTACAACACGAAAGAGAATAAAGACGTGCCATCACTGGGAAGGTTATGGCAGACCTATGTCTACACCAATTTCATGATCAAGAGATCACCGGTTAATTCCGATAGAATTGGATACACCTTAAGGTCAGTGAACACAGAGAAGAATCGACAGTTTTATTTCAAAATAACTGTAAGTGTTATGAAATCTATTGAACTCATGATATCTTAATGACATTAATTGCTACTTCTTAGGAAGATGGCATCAGAGAAGCACTTCCAGGATATACTCATGTCAAGTATACTTAGAATCCATTCAATTTAAAGTTTGAGAATAAAATTCATTTTTATTATCATATAAACCGGTTATGACTTAATAGTCAGTTATAAATTCTTTAGCAAAAAACATAACAAATTCATATTTTTATAAATATGTCAAAAAGTAATTAAAATTATCATTAAAAACACGTAAAGTATTGAAGTATTAAAACATTAAATGTTGTAACAAATTGACTAAATGTTAATAAATGAATAGAAAAATGCATCGATTATTGAATTTGACTTAAAATAGGGTAGATTTGAGCGCAATATCACAAGCAATTGGTTTAAGGCATCGAATGGCTGAGAGTTTGGCAAAAAGTGATCATTTCTTACGCTTACGTCTCGAGTGACTGGCCTTAGGAATGAGTCCCACCTTTGGAACGGGAGCTTCGCTTTGATTGCAATGAGATTCGCATTCCTGAGCCGTTTGTGGAACCGTATCGTATGTGTTGTACTGTTGCTGCCATTGCATCCATTTGTCGCCGTTCTCTTGCTTCCAATCAATCCATTGTTTAACATCCGATTGATTAACGTTTCCATAAATCTCTAACTGTTTGTAATATTGAGTACGAATTGCTTGAAACGCTTCTGAGTTGGCAAACGGGAGTTCACTGATTGGGTCGAAATAGCGGGCCGGCAGTTGAGTGACCGGACATACCATTCCGCTAATGCTTTTCATGGATGAGTTGTTGGACAATGAGTTAAGCCATGAGTCGAAAGTCTGTTCGTCACTGAATGTAATGAATGTTCGCGAATAGCTTTTGGCACCAGATTTATGGCTCTCGACTTCCGCACCATTGCCTTCACCGCTCTGTTCATCCAATTCCTCGATTAAAGGCATTGAAACCGAATTGAATCGAATGAACGGACCATCAATTGAATGCTTCACTCTTTTGGTCTTATTCTTCTGGGATTCAAGTCTTTCGTACTCTTTAAGTGACTGTAAATTCAATTTCTCGGTTATCTTCGCCTCTTTCAACAGCTCTGATTGTGTCCACTCTTTGCCACAACTCTTGCCATTAGTTTTGCGTTTCATTTCTTTTGATGGCTTTTTCTGACTGCCATTCAATCGACTCTCAAATATCTTTTCGACCAAATCATCGCTTTTAGTACTTCTCAAGCGTTTGCTCGAGAATATGGTTCCGATGACAGGGATGTCGACAACGAGCGGAACCTTCACTTCTTTGGCTATCGACTCACTTTTGGTCTTCGCTTTCATTGGCTTTCGTCGGTTGTCTCCAAACTTCTGTTTAGTCTTTGGCTTCATTTGCTCCTCATTTGGATCATCACTAATCGGATCGTCGTTTTCATCGATCGAGAAGTCGGAGTCAATCATGTCTTCGCTGTCACTGCTCTCATCACTGGTGTAGTCGATGTCGTTGTCGTCCTATCAATAGGTCACACGAGATATCAAACCATTGAGTCTTCAGTTTTACTGTTAAGTCAACAAAATTAATGAAAACCTCTTGAAAGCCGCCGTAAATGCTGTCATAGAAGTGATCGACAACTTCTTCGGTGTCCAACAGTTGAGACATCTTTGAGCCGGCGTTCGGTCGACGCATACGATTGGCCGACAAAGACATGGCGTGCGGCCGAAGATAATGACAGTCACCTCAATGTGCGAACAGATTGTCTGCGAAAGTGAACCCAAATTAACAATCAATTGAATTTCAATAACAATGGACACAAACGTCTGTATAATTGTGGCCACGAGTGGTGATTGTCTCAGAAATTTGTTGACATTTGCAGACAATTGGCTTCAATTGATCACTGAATCCAGTGTTTTGTCAAATGTTTGTGAAATTCACAACATTTTGATGTTTGGGTCGACGACTGACTCCTCCCACTCTCCACTCGTGTCACGTGTTGTCCACACTTTGTTGTGCTCTCATGTCATCATCACTTCGTTTGTGATGAAAGTGTGTCCAAAACAGTGCTCATATCTTCACTCAAAATGACTGATTCGGTGATAATCGACCTAAAAGTGGACAAAACTCTAGTGAATCCACACTTCGAGTCGTATCGGCTGTCCATCGACCCAATGGTCACATTCTCACAGTCTTTGGACAGTTGTGTCAATGAATTGAAACTCACGGACGATGACTACAGTTATCTTCACCTGTCGATGGCCTCGCAGATGAACCACTTGTTCGCCGACCCCTTCTGTCCGCAGACCATATTCTTTGCCACAAATTGTGGACAAATAGTCTGCGTTTGCATTGAATTGGTTTCGGGAAACCTCACGAAACCGAAAGTCGTTTATTTGGTCCCAGACTTCAGTTCGGCTTTTATTTCGATATCATTTCCGAACCACTGTTTGGCTCTCATATCGACCTCAAGACCAACCAATCCTGTGGTGTATGTGATGTCGACTCCGAGTAGATCGGCGTCTGAGCCGTGGGTTCTGTTGTCGACAATTGATTTAACCGATTATGACTTAAAGACATGCTTTCAGTTGTCTTGCAGTCAATCCATGGATTTACTCAACTCTTTCACTCAAATTGAGTTCATTTTATGGTTTGTCGACAAAAAACAAGACAACAATGATTTGAATCAAAGTTCAACTCAGAGTTCATTTAATTCAGTATTGAATTGGTTTACAATCACTGGAAGTGTTGATGAATGCGAGTCATGGAAAGTGAAGAGACATCGGAGGATGAATGGCTCGGATTGGCCTAAATATGCGGCCTTTGATTTTGACGGCAATCCCCTCTTGTGTTTGGTTTCCGACAAAGACTTTACGTTTGTTTCGGATTCAGACAAACCTATTGTCGAAAGAAATGCTATTTTGGGCCCAAAAGCCGAACCAAAACTGTTGTATACTTACAGTCAAACACTGGAAGACATTTGTGTCACTTTTAAACTTCCCGTTCATATCACTAAAAGCGATGTTTTTATTGACATAAAGCCCAACAATATTAGTGTCAAAATTAAAGATATCATTGAATTCGAGGGCGAATTGTGTCACACGATTGACTCCAACTCTTCCGTTTGGACTCTTCAGTCACAACAAGACTTCCAATTATTAGAGATTACTATCAATAAGAGCGACACCGGAATGGTTTGGAAGGAATTCATTCAAAATGACAAAAATGGAGCCGAAGTTTTCGACAACGATATGATGCAAGAAATGCAACAAAAGTTAACGCATTTAACGAACGAAATGCCAGACATAGAGACCAATGATTATCAGAACAACGCTTACGACCCGATAGGACTCGAAGAATGCGATTTCACAGACAATTCGCTGGTCTTCAGCAGATATAACGGAAACACACATTCCATTGGCCATCGAATCGATTTAGGGGGCAATCAATGGTTGTTCACAATCCCTGCCCTTAAGTCGATTAATAGTGATTCCAACGAATTGCCATATTTTGTGGTCCGACACGATGTGGACGCTCTGGTGTGGGCGCCGCACACCTCGTCGGACACCAATGAGTTCGGAGTCAAACATTTGTCAACATTTGCTGCTTTTGGTTACGTCCAGGCGTCCAAAACCAACACCCGATTCATTGCCGCTCCCAATGACTTCAATTATGTGGCCATCGCTGACGGCGTTAAACATATCTATGTCTATAGACAGCCAATTAGTATACAAAGCGGTGAATTGAGAAATAGGAAGACCGGAAGGGAAGTACAGACCATTGCCACTCAACACGTAATTAATTTAAATGATTGCCAATATATTCTCGGTATTCACGCTATAAATGACAGCATTTTTGTCTTAAGTAATGATAGAATATTTTTAATCAAATTATAAATTTCAATATTTATTTTTAATAAAACGGTAACAGAATTAAATGACTAATTAATGTTTGCACTGTAATTATTGTCGATAAGGCGGGTCACGATCATAGCACCTGCCGTATAAACCCATTGACAGGACTGGTTCATCAATGTCTTGTAAACTAAGAGTCACTTCGGAACCAATTTGTTTGGAGTCGCGATGAATCCATTTATGCATTGAGATCTGTTTTAAATCATTAGTTGTAGCGCTCGGATAAACATAATTAGTGCTGAATTTGGCGCTAATTTTTATATTCTTGAAAATGGATTCATTTGATTTGGTTGGAAAAGACTGACAACTGTCGTCCTCACACTGGAAGACTCCACAAAACTCTTCACATAACGGGTATCTCAACTGCGAGAGTCCGTGTCCGCTCCTGTTGGCCACTATAAGCCAATATGAGTTGCCTTTTAAAGACAGTCCATTTTGAACACTATAGTCGAGTTGACAGCAAAAGCCATTATTGCATACTTCGGCCGAATTTTGTTCGCCTTTTAGCCGATAAAGAGCGGAACCCTTCAAATCCAATGATACGAATGGCTTATACTCTGACGAATCGACCAAATCATCGATTACAATGCGTTTATTATATCTATTGGCCAAACATTTAGCGCCAGTATTCTTGCTATCGATGGGAATGTCAGCAATCATTAGATGAGCTTTTTCTTCGGATATATTCGACTCAATCATTGGTCCGTTTTGTCCCGAATATATTCCGCTCCCAATCGAACCTATCAATAGATTTGGATCCGTTATCAATATATAGATCACATGATAATCCTGTAGTCATACCTGACTGTGGGAACTGCATGTTTGCGGCTAAAAGGTTGACCTGATTAGTGAAAGCCCAGCCCTCCTGAACCTGATTTGCCGATTTGAATGGCAATTCATCGAACCACCACAACGGGTATAGCATAGTCTTGACCCCATATTTGCTGATGAGATCAGTGGCAGGGTTTTTGAATAATATATCAAAGCATATAAATAAACCCATTCTTCCGAAAGGAGTGTCGAAGTGAATAAGTTCTGGTTTCGGCGGAACATTGTAATGGAATTCATGGAATAATTGCATTTTGTGGTACTTCGCCAATAATGCCCCGTCCGGACCAAATGCCACCGCAGTATTAAACAGATAATGGCCATCAGTGGGACAGTTCACATCGGATGTAGTGTCGCACTCGACTCGATCGCCATAATCGGCCACAATATATAAGTTATTAGTTTTGGCAAAACAACTCAATCTGTATGTCTTCACTTTATCTTCATATTCAGAGGGGTTATCACAGGGATTATGATTTCCAATGAGTGGATCGGGGATTTGTTCAGCGATTTGAGCAATTTTAGACCGCGGGTATCTGGTGTTAATGATGGCATCCTCAGGATATACCAATATTTGGACCCCCTTTCGGTCGCATTTTGTTAAAATTAAGGTTTTATTCAATTATCTCAATGAACTGTAACTATAATTATAACCATAAATCAAACCTCTTTGGAAGCGATGGATGCAATCCTTTCGAAAACATCGAGATTTCGCTTAATTATAACCGACGGCTCTTCGGATGTAAGGTTACCGAGCGGTAAGTGTTGGAAAACAGCGGCTCTGAAACAATCATCGCTTTCACAGTTGATGAATGATTTATTGAAAATACAAATTGTGAATAACAATGAAATTATACAAAAAGGATTCAAAGCCATTGTGGAATTTACTTATATTTAAACAATCAGTAATAATTATAATTTTTTTGAAAGGAATTAATCGCTTAAATAATCCAAAATGTGTTTCTAAGGCTTCATATGGACGATAAACACAATCTCTATAAACTCAATGTCTGATTAGATACTGTAATACAGTATTAGGTAATACGGTTAGTAAGAAACAAGTTTCTCATTCATTGCTTTTTAAGGTTCATATAATATTTAATTTGAGAAAACATTTAACGGAATGCAGACAATGTTAGTTTAAATAATGATTAGTCGGAATCGTCTGATATGCGGATCTCTTCATACTTGGGTTTCTTGGCGGCTGCGGCTCTTCGCGGAGAGTTCCTTCGCGATGAACAAGTGGATGAAGAGGTGGATGCAGTCGACGCTCCCATTACGTCCAGAGTTTGCTGAGTAGAGGCACGATATTTGCTTTCAGGACTCCTTTTGACGGTCGCCCGCCCCCGACCACGACTTCCTCGTCCCCGTCCGCGACCTCTGCCTCGAGTGGCCGTCTGTCTCGACTCCTCCTCCTCCGCGTCCGACCCATTCATTCCATTACTTCCACCCATGAATTCAATGTCTGACTGATTGCCATTGTCTTCATCGATGGGCTCTGTCTTAACAGCACTTCTATTTCTCGTTCGACTTTCTGCTAGAATTCGGTCTAAATCTTGTGAATCACTCCCAAATGGATTCTCATTCTTGATTCTTCTGATTTCATTCTTAATATCATCGACTTGGAGGTCCTCTAAAGCCAAGAGACACCTCTTCATGCTTTCCTTCTGTGCCTCATAGACATCAGCGATGGCTTCCGTCGAGTCCTTCTCCACTAACTCAATGACTGCAAGAGTTAAGGCATTCTCCGAAAGTAATCCTAATTTGAGTTTCTGGTCTTCAATTTTATCGAAATATTCTTTAATAATGTTCGTTATGTTAACCCTCTCTCCGAGCACCTCATCGTCCAGAAGGGCTCGCATTTCGTTTAAGTCTATATTCCCCTCGTCTTCATAAATGCGATTGTCTTTACGTTTGACGTAATGAATCACTTCCGACGGGTTGGCCACCCGTCCATTGTATTGGGCGCCGAACTGAGCGGAATGGAACTGATGGCTCTCATCCGTGAACTCGAGCCGCAGTCGAATGAGTGGCAGTCGAGGTTGTCGAGGGTCTCCCGTGTGCTCGAGTCTCGCCTTTTGGATCATTGCCTCCACTTTTTCGCGACAATACTCTGTAGTACCTTGCTATCTAATTTAGTTTTTGAGATATTGCAATTAAAAGGCGGAGGTCCATGGTGAGACACACTGTAGTTGGAAATGAAACCGATTATAGGAAAATTTTACATCAAGTAAATAATTGCACAATTAAGCAACAATTTGAATTGCTTATAAATTTAAGTGACATTTTAAGAAATTATAGTAATTTGGGAAATTCACCTATCATAGCAATAAATGCGAATAATTATTGTTTTACATTGTTATGGGAACATAAGAATAATACGAATATAATGAATTTAAATTTTTATGGCTCCCAAAAAGTCGAAAATGTTTATATCTCTATAGATCCAAAATATGTATTAAATAATGATCTTTATATTACATTACATCCGCGGACATTGCGGTTAACTAATACTTATAGTTTTCAAGCTATAGTACCAATAATTAAAGACTGGTATAGCGAAGTTACATATAAGCAAACCATTGTTCACAATAAACATTTCGATAACTGTCTGATGACAGATGCTATTAGCAGCACAGAATACATTTATAATTGTTTTGACGATACTATACGCGGAATTTTATCAAGCAAAAAATCATCGGCATTGACGCTGATAAGCGACACCCTTAATGATCAACATATCTACGAATATCCTATCCTTAATTTTAAAATTATTGACAAATGTGACGGTGCATACGACCTATTGAAAGCGTGCATGCATTACTATTACACTGTTAATACGAATAGCGAGGTCATTAACAATGATCATTATAAAAATAATACATTCCGATTATAAAAGTCTCGCCAAAACCCTTGACACTAGATTATTTAAATTGAATATATGTTAGAATTGAGCTAGAACAAAATAAAATTTTTTGCAACTATTGTTTTTAGGGACCATTACAACCATATGACCCTTTCCATCCAGATGTGAGGGGAACGGTATGGGGAATGGGATGTTGAGATCA